AAACTCCATGACTTGATGAAGTCTGACTTTTCCTTTTTTTCTCTTATAGTGCACACTTTTTAATATTCTGAGATATCTTTGTCGATTCAAGGTCATAAAGATTTTTCTTAAAATTCCCCAAATTACTTTTATGCACAGGCAAAGTTGAGAACTACTAGTCTGTGGGGAATGTGACCTAGCTTTCTTAATTTAAACTGAGTTTCTGCCAGAGGAAAATAGAGCACTGAAACTAAATTAGAAGTACAGTTAACTGGAAAAGCAGGGATACAATCAAGAGCCGGAGGACTTTGTGAACCCACCACCTTCCAAGCTTAAGTGTGAGCATCCACCAAGGGCTAGAATACATGACTGAAAAACACAGAGCCAGGGGTGCTTTAAGTGTCATCCGCACGGTGAGAGGAAGAAGCCAATAGGAATGTCCTCCCCTTTGTGAGAAACAGCATACCCAAATGTATTATGGTTTAACTGATAAAATGGGAAAAATTATTCCTCTTCCACATGGGAGTGAGAGTCGCCATTTTTGAAGCTACCACATTAAACAAACAAAGGTGGTAGTAATAATATTTATCCAAACTGCTTCCAATAGGGGTTGGGCAGATTGAGCTTTCATTAAAGGAAGGAGCTGTCAGGAACACTGAATGGACTCAAGTTTCCCTAGAATCCTGGACAAAGTGGATCTGTTTCTTAGCAGTAGACAGGAGGCAACTTTCCAGATGTTATATTTAGCTTAAAGGAATCTCCAACACAGCTTCATGCAAAATATATAATATGTCCCAGTAGGTATAACCACAAACCAGAGGGGCAGCAGGGAGTATCCCTTAAGAGGGTTCAGTAGCATAGAGGGGCCAATTGTGTAACCAAATTGACAACCCCAAACTAGCTGAATTAGCTATGAGCCAGATTTTTGGCCATACCTCATATTTAATGAGTCTTGTTTCCCTTCTTGCTAACAATTCTGTACCCAAAGGAAAAAAATAAGTTTGCTCTTCCACTACAACTCTGAGTTGCTTGCCTACATCAGGATAGAGAAACAATAGAATTAATGTTTTCAGGAGGTTTGTGTACAAAAGACAATAGTAGTCCAACTCTCTAGGTGGCTTTTTAGATTCAATGGCAAAGAATAAGGCCTCTTCCTTGCACGTTACCCTACAGCCCCCTGAGAGAGCTTGTGGATGATAACACCAGCCTCTAGATCCAGATGGCAGGACTGAAATACCAGCCTCAGTGCTTGGTTTGCTTAATATCTTTGAGCTTTAGTTTTCTGGTTGATAAAAGAGATAATAATAGTAACCACAGGCACATTGTAAGGATAAAGGTGATAGTGTATGTGGAAAATGATTAGCACAATATTCGGCACATATGGATTCAAAAAGCTGACTTTTCTTATAACCTTTGTTGTTAACTTTCATAGATTAACATAAACACAGGCCTCCACAGTAACATCAGGAATAAAAGTACCTTTTCTGAAGCCCATGTCTTTGAAAAAAATCAACTTTCTCTTTGCTACTAGTTCCAAATTTAGTGGTAAAACAAAAGATGCTGTTTATGCTAGGATTCCAGTTTGTTATCTCTTGGTTGCTGGTCTCTATAAGGGCCTTTGAAATGGTGATGCATCATTCCTCGACAAACTCGGCTTTCTACTGTGTAAATCATCTAGCCCTGGATCCCATGTATCACTGCCAATCTCTGAAACTAAGATTTACCTTTCAAAATATAATTGAGGTTATTCAACAACCAGAAGAAACCTCTAGTATAGGACAGAAGATACCATGGAGATCTCTAGCCTAAACTGACTTTTGTGGGGATTTTGTTGCTTTGTTTTCTAACTTCAGAGAACTGAAGCATATAAAGAAGTCCAAGTCTTGAGCTCAGTATCTCAAAGTTAACAGCAGATCCAGCATAAGAAAGGTCACCTGAATAAGGCCCTTATTCAAGTAGCACAAAGCTTCTTATTATAGAAAAGATGTCCAGAGCCATTCCTTTGGTCTCTTATCTAATTACTATCTCTTTATCAGTGGGATTCTAATTCTTCAAGTACAATATACTCTAAACAAGACACAAAAAACTGGGGTTTAGAGAAACACTGAATTGTTGAATGCAACAGTCCTATTCATATCTCTAACTAATAATATATTGAAACCAAGTAACAACCATGGAGAAACAGTCTTATGATTTGCTTTTACACAATACTATAATATACTTAAAGACAATGAGAGAAATCATACCCAAAAGTCCATAATAGTGTATGATTCTACTCATACAAAGTATAAATCCAAGCACAACCAAAGTTTGCTGTTAGAAATCAGGGACGTAGCTGTCCTTAGGGGTTCAGAATTTGGGAAAGGAAGATGGGGCTTTTAGAGTACTGAAATGTTCTGATTCCTGATCAGGGAACTGGTTACAGGGAAATGGTGTATTGCATTTGTGAAAATGTACTTAACTACAAACTTCTTGTACATTTGTTTTTCTTTTGCAAAGTATCATAAACAATCCTGAGAGTAAATTCTTCTCCTGTTGTCAATACAGGAACACAGCTTATGGAGGTCAGCCCAGAGGCCCTGGTTAGTCATACCATTAGTGGAAGGATTTTTCCTTCTAGAGGTGACATGTCCCAGGTCTCTGGTGAAATAGAGGTGAGCACTTGAAAAGCTAGGAAAAGTGGTTTTGGTATCTGGCTACTGCTACCACAGACTTCTCTGAGATGTGGAGGCTACAAATCTCTCAGCTTATTCCTCCTCTCTGTGGTGATATAATGAGAAATGGTCTTCATAGTTTTGGACATTTGAGCACTGGGTCCCCAGCTGGTGGTACTATTTGGGATGTCTAGGTGCTGTGGCCTTGTGGGAGGAAGTAGTCAGAGGGGTAGGCTTTGAGAGTAAAGCCTCACTCCAGGTCCAGTTCACTCTTTGTGCTTCACAGTTGCACTGGGATGTGAACTCTCAGTTTCATGCTGCTGCCACCATGCCTATTGTTAAATGCTTCTCCACCACGATGGACTCTTTCTGCCCTAGAACCATACATCCAATAAGCCTTGCTTTGTAAGGTGCCTTTGGCCATATGTTTTATCTCAGCAGCAGAAAAGGAACTAATGCACTCTAAACTGAGAGGCTGTCTGAAATTGAGTTAGGTAAAAATCTCTCATGGAAGTATTGTTCTCAAATGGACAGAGAAAATGAAGGCGGATACTACCAGTCTAACTTTTCCAGAGCTAAGATCATCAGATGTTAAGGTCACAAAAAGCAAAAGAGATCACAGCTTGAAATAAGTTATTTTAATCATAGAAATATGTATTACTATATGATATTACTAAACATGCATTACTGTGTGATACATAGAGATTCAGATTAACAATAAGTAAGCCAGAGCAGTTGCTGGAAACCATGAAGATGATAGAAGTGTCCCCAACCCAAACAGAACAAAGGAAGCTCCAGTCACAGCATGGCAGGGTCACAACAGACTTAGTAAGCATTAAGGGCAGTTACCCGTTCCTCTTTTTCAGATGTCGTACCCTCAATACCCTGCCCTAAACCCAGAGAACGCTCCTTCACAGACGCCGTTAAGTACACAGTGTAGCACCCAGTCCTTTGTTCAGGCCAGCCAGTGAAAATGGAAGGAATTTTGAACTAATCTCAAGTCTAATCAAATCTGAAACGTTTTTCAATGTTAAGAACTAGGATATTGATTAAGGGCTATAGCTATAGCAATGATAATTCTAATTATTAGACTCTTTACTCAATCTCTAATTTTAATTCTGGATATGTTATCTATAAGTCAGTGAATGAATACACACACACACACACACACACACACCACATTCACTTTCTATGAATTTCTGTGACATTTACTTTCTAGAATCTCTCTGGGGAATATCAAAGACTGAAAGTGAGACGTGGTATATATGATAGTTTGAATAAGACTGGCCTCCAGAGACTCACAGATTTGCATGTTTGGTCAATAGCAAGTGGCAGTACTTGAAAGGGATTAGGAGGTGTGGTCTTGTAGAAGTAAAAGTGACCTTGTTGGAAGAAGTGTGCCTCTGTGATGGGCTTTGGGGTTTTAGAAGTCCAAGCCAGTCCCAGCCTCTCACTCCCTCTTCCTCTCCCTCTCTTTCTTCCTGATGTCTATGAAATAAGTAACATGTAGAATTTTCAACTATTTCTCCAGCATCATGTCTGCCTGTGTGCCTTCATGATGAAAACAGTCAAAACCTCTGAAACTGGAAGCTAGCCCTAATTAAATGTTTGATTTATGAGAGTTGTTGTGGTCATGGAGTCTCCTCACAGCAACAGAACACTGACTAAGACAGCTCCTCTGTAGAGTACTCAGGGTCTCTGCTACCACTCATAACCAAGCCTCATAAAAGAACGACTCCACAGAGAGCTCAAGTAAAGTGGGTTCCTAGCTTCCCAAGAGGCTAGTTCCAGCACTAACAGGAAAAGGGGTATTTGACAAAAATGTCTTAAGATTAGAACAACTATTTTCAGGTATGCTTTGATCTAATTGCTCAATCTACAGGCAACAAATTGAGATAACAAACAAACTTCAGAAAGCAGTGAGGTGTCCACGCTAAGAATAACCAAATCCACAAGTCCAAATTGGCTAAGATAGAACTTGGAAAGAAAACTAAGTTCAAAGTATAAACATAGAGGAATTACTAAGTGAACTAGATGGAGAAAACATGCTACAACACTAAAGAACCCTGAGTCCCAAGAGGTTTCAAAGCACCCAGGCAGCTACCAGAACAGGGTCAGTGTGTAACGCTGACAGATAATGCTGCTGGTCTGTGGAAACGTGGCTCTGTCTCCCGGGAATATCAACTCAGCTTAGGAAGGTTAAAAAGTTTGCCACTTCAAACATTATTTTTTTAAAGACTATGTGGGATAGAATGGTCAGTGGAAAACCTGTTAAGTGAGTCAAGAAAATGTCCTTTCTTTTATTTACAAAGTCATGTCATTGTTCCAGCCAAGAGCCTTTGTGATTAGGAACAGCTATCCATATACCTTTTTAAAGAGTCTTCCTGAGTCCTCGCTGACTTGAACAAATCGAGGAATTATATTATTCAGGTAGATGTCACTCAGGGTGGTATGATCCCTGCTCTCCCGCTTCACCTGGTTTAAGAGGAGGTTCCAGCAGTTGACTGGAGAGAGAACATTCTGGTCCTTCCTACAGAGAAATCAAAGAAAAAAAAATTAGAGTTAGCAAGCAGGCAGAGCTAGCAGCTATAATTATAGTTCATGTCACAAAAATCACAGTAATCAAAGCAGGAGCAGAAACAAGGGTATCTTCCCTAACGCCAACTGCTATGGTTTAAATGTGACATAACCCCAGCCCCAGGCACCTGTATTTCTACACTTTTTGTATCTCAGCTACAATTTTGGGAGGTTGGGTTTAGGAGGAGGAAGTGGGTCACTATGGGAATGAGCCTTAAGGTCTACGGGCCATTACACTTCACACCCTCTCTGAGATGAGAGCCGACAGCAACCTCATGCTCCCACAAACAAGGAGCCTGTGCATGCATCCCTGCCACTATGAGCCTACTATAACCATAAGTCAAATGAATATTTCCTGTCTGTTGCTCCTTGTCATTGTTTGACCATAGCAATGTAGTAAGAAAAGTGACTAGTACACCTACACCACTACATTTTTTCTTTTTGCAAAACTCTAAAAGGGGGTAAAAAAAAGAACAAGAAGAGGAAAAGGAAACATGGGAGAGGAAGAAAGGAACTTTTCTGAACACTTGGTTGAAAGCTTCAAACATGCTATCTCAGTTAAACTCCAGTATTTCCTTTTTTTTTTTTTTTAAAGGATCCACAATTACCACCATTTTCATGATTAGAAAGCTGAAACTCTCATACTAGTAATGAGTAAGAGGAAGTCAGAGAACCACAGCACTGTATTCTCTGACTAGGATACATCAGACTGTTTCTCCACAGTCTAAAGTTTAAAGCTGGGGTCACCTGGCTCATCATTAGGGTTAGAGACAAGGTTAAAGATCTTATTTATAGGAGAGGCTGGAGAGATAGCTCAGTGGTTAAGAGACTTGCTGCTCTTGCAGAGGACCTGGGTTCAGTTCCCAGCACCCACATCAGGTAGCTCACAACCACTCATAATTCCGGTTCCAGGAGATCTGATCCCTCTCTCACATCCATGGGCACTTGTACTCATGTACACAAACCTATATACATGCACATATACATAGCTAAAAATAAATTAAAAAATAATCTATCAGAGATAAAAATCACTGGAATACTACAAACTAAAACCTCTACATGTTTGCCCACTGTAGGAGACCATAAAGACAACTTTGAAGATATCTGCCATGAAAAATTCACAGAAAACTCTCTAGTTCCATGGAACACATATAAAGGGTTTTTTGACACCACTGGCTGAAGCATTATCTCATGCCCCATATTATTAAGAAAACAACCTTATTTGAATATATACATTCCTAATATTCATGCTTTGGTAGGGACATAAATTCTAAACCTATATGTTCATTTCAAATAAAAACAATGTGATTCCTAAAGCGTATCAGTGATCTGCTCAGTTTGCAGTACTAATCTGAACAGCTATCCACAGTGAAGTTGGGTTTCTTTAAGGAAAGAAAAAAACAGGGTCTATTATGGTGCCACTTCTTAAGGGGTGCTATGTGCTTGACTTGCTTTTTAATGTAGTTTACATTGCTGTTTAATTTATAGCTCACAACTTGTCCAGAGGTGATCTGAAAGCTGAGGAGAGGAAAAGAAAGAAAGAAATGTGAGAGCTTCTAAGTGACGACTGCAAACTGCAACGGTGGTGCTGGACGAGCCTGCAACCACAAAGGTGCGCATGGCCAGGGAAAGGAGTCAAACCTGTGCACTCATCCCTTGTCTCTTCCTTCCCTCCGCGCAGACTGTTGGCACAAAAGTAGTGAGTTGAGAAGACACTGTCTCCATTCAGAGCTGGAGGCTGCCAAGCAGCCTGTAAGCTCAGAACTCAACCCAGAGGTTTTTCAATTCTGCAATAATAGCTACAAACAAGTAACATACACAATTTTTAAAATGTACTATTTAATAATTTCTTTATTTTTATTTTATGTGCATAGGTGTTTTGCCTGCATGTATATCTATGTGAGGGTGTCAGAACTCCTGAAATTGGAGTTACAGACAGCTATGAGCTGTCATGTGGATGCTGAGAATTTTACCTGGGTCTCCTGGAAGAGCACCCCTAAAAAGTACTATTTAAAAGAAGTCTGGTAAAATGGCTCAGTACGTAAAAGCACTTGCCATGTAAACCTAATGACCTGAGTTCAATCCCTGGATCCTACAGTGTAAGGAAAGATCTGACTCCTAAAAGTTGTCCTCTAACTTTCAACATGTGCTATGACATGCATATACAATGATACATTTTTAAAAGATGCAGTATTAAAACTCTAAAATATTTTTTTCAAGTTATTTCTCTTGGCAGAATATCCATGTCCTCAGTAAGTACAGAATATACCAGGCTATTACACATAGTTTTCAAAGGGGGAGGTCTTATGAGACTCAATTTTACAATTGGTTTCTATCTGCTTCTTATGAGAGAATACAGATGGGTTGGTGGTCTATGCTGGGTTCATGATAGACCATGGGTAGCTAGGGAATCGACACTTGAATCTTGCCATTTCATTATCCAATTGCTACAATGCTTATTATAAATATTAGGATTCATATAATTAATATTTGTAATGGGAACAGTCTCTAGGTAATATTAATGGCTTAATTTTAAAACAAAATATTATTTTGTAAACACCCAAATCAACTTGAAATTATACCAATAGTACCATTACTCATGTATGAATTAAAAAAAATTGCAGGGGTGGCAAAAGCTTCTGTGGACTGAAGCAGGGTCTTGCACATTCTAGGCAAGTACTCTATTGCTGACGTATATCTCTATCCTGCAGGACTTTATTAATAGTGAAAAATCCAAACCGAACATAGAAATAATGGTGATGATGAAACTACAGAAAACTACAACTTTTATTCATAATTCTGGTATCAATATTTTTAGTTCACAAACAAAGCCTCATTGTTCATGATGACTGATTCTAATAAACTCTAAAACTCTGTAGTTTAAAAGTACTGCTCTCTCTCTCTCTCTCTCTCTCTCTCTGTCTCTCTCTCTTGTTCTCTCTGTCTCTGTCTTCTTTATGTATTCCACATATAAAAGGCAAGTGTTTATTTTAAAAGCGTAGTCTATGATCCAGGCATGGTGGCTATAATCCCAACACTCAGGAAGTAGAGGTATAAGGATCAAGAATCTGGCAGAGTAGGGGCCTTTAAAAAAAAAAAAGGATCAAGAATCTGAAGTTAGCCTAGGCTGACCAGAGGGACACACAGAAGGACCCTGCCTCAGAAGACAACAGCAGACACAAGCCAATATCACCAGTTACTTTGTTTCTTCCAGGAGTTACTAGTCTCTTCATACTATTAATAGAGTATTTGGATCCTCTAATCTTATTATTTCTCACTTTCCTCTTACAAATAGATGCTTCATTTCTTTTAAGGCAATGGTGGGGCAAGGAAGATGAAGAGACTCTGAAAAGAAGGAAAAGTAAGTATACTACACAGGCAATTTTCCTGGCCAATGAGAACAAAGCTGCACTACTCTTCAGGTGAGACATGCTTTCCTATGAGAGTCACAAGTCTGCTCTAGTAGTTTTGCAGACTTATTTGATTTGGAGCCAATGAAAATAGGAGAACTTCATTTGGTTAGGAGATCAAAATCTATATATCTTTCCCATCTAACATTTGTTAGTATAATGTCTTTGCTTCCCTTGTCCCTCTCCCCCAACTCTGAGTCTCAGGCTGTATAATCCCTGGTCATTTAAAGGGTCTGTGTCTCTTAGGAATGTGCTGGAACACAGCCATGAATCTCCTTAAACTGATCCCTAAAAAGCAAACAAAACATTCAGAAGTGTTTTCCTTAAAAAAATTCAGGAGGAAGACCAAGAAAATACCACACTGTGTTGCAGAAGAGATGACTTTAGTCAAAGAAAGGAAACCCAGGGACTCATAAGCCAGTGTACAACTACAAAAGCGATTATCACTTCAAAGGCACCCGACAAGATAAACCTACCCAACTGAATTGCTAACATTAACCTGAAGATAGGAGCCCAGTTTTTCAGTAGAGGTTACACCTATGGATGCTCAAACACTTCTAACAGATGACTCAAAGGATTTCTACGACAGCCAAGATAAAAGGCAGGCCCACGATCATAAAATCTCTACATTATATACTATCCCCCCCCACTCATATTTCTCTGGTTGCTTCATAAGCTCACATACAAAAACACCTGTCCCATCAATTTCCTACCAGCTCATCTACAAAATGGACAGTGCCCATCCAGCTCCTGAAACACCTTCAACAGATCACTTCTAAGATCCCAGAAGCTCCTTCAGTATGAGATGGCAATTAATTAACAGCAGGCACACTTATGGCCCTGAAGAGCTCGAGCTTGGTGTCTGGATGGCTGGAGCTTCTGCACTGCTATACTGAGGTTTCCTTCTGGGTCTACAGTCTATTATTTGCCCTTTCCAAGGGCTGCTGTAGAGATCAGCTGAAATGATGGATGCAAGAGAACTTTAGCAACACAAAACACTATGCAAATGGGAGAAATATTAGTATTTTCATTTCCAAACAAACGAGGACTTAGCTTTCATCCATTTCCAACATGTTCCTCAACAGGCATGAGGCCACAGCCAAGACTGCAGCCTGCTAAAAGTGCACAACCCTTAGCAAATCACTGTTGGATAAGACAGCGACAGGCAATTAACCAAGCAGCTGCATGTCTCTGGGAAGACATGAGAGAAATATGAAAGGAGAGCAGACTCCAGTATTCCACTATCCTTTCCCAAAGAGACAAGGTAGAACAATAGTCTTGTGTTCCTCAGTGGGAACTGTGTGCCGAGGCTGACAAGAAAGAATTCAAAGGGAGCCCAGAATCCCAGTAGCACTAGCAACTTCCAAAGCCTCCACCCCAGAGCAGAATCCCTATCAGACCTGCCAATTTCTAAAAAGCTGGCAATTGTCAATGCATCTAAGAATACAATTTCTCACTTTTAGATAACAGTTCTGCGATGATAGACAAAACTTTGAATGATTTAAATTCATCATTCAATATATGTTATTAGGTCTCTGATGAG